GGTTCCCCTCGACACGCTCCTTGTCGTCCTCGGGGATGAGGGAGTTGAGGTACTTAGCCACCTTGTAAGGCTGGGGGTGGTTCCAGAGCCTTGAAGGCATTTTCACCGTCATATCCTTGACAGTGATTGGAGAAGGGGACGGTTTCTCGACCGCCTTTCCCTTTCCCTTGTCGACCCTGCGGCATTTCAGGTCGTCGGGAATTAGGATAGCCGCCCGCTCATCTTGGGCCCTCTTTCGGGAAGCAGAGCCCGACGATTTGTGCTACTGGGCAGCACTAGGGTTCTCGACCTTAGATTTCTTTACAACCGTCGTCTCGGCTGCCGCGGCGGCGGACCTCGACCCAGATCCGCCTGTGGGTCGAGGGGGAGGAACAGAGCCGCCAGCCGACTGACTGGTCGGCTGATTCTTCTTCAGCTCGAAACGCTTGAGTGCCTTAACTTATAGTAGGAGAGAATTAGCAATCAAGTCGTGATGCGAATAAATAAAACTTGAATTTGACTTCACGAGAAGAAACATTAAGAGCTTACTAGGATCATCGAGACGAGGAAGATCCTCGTAGATGATGATGCGAGCATGATTGACCAATGCGCGGTCCTTAATCAATTGGCGAGCACTATAAGTGTGCTTATTGAGTTCAACCAACAACAGGGCGAACTCATCGGAGCGAGGACCGTTTATTCTATTTTACTCTAGAAGTTATCCAAGTATTTACATAAGGATACATGCCGGAAGCAGGTCGAATAAAAAAGTACTTCGACTTTCATTCGGTCACATTTGACGATAGATCGTCGAGGAAAGTGACGCCGGCACGACGACCCAAGCAATGGGCGCCTTTGGAAAGTCGGTAGCCATAGCAGTAAAAGAAAAACTCGGGCGAAAAGAATTTAAGTACTATGCGGGAGACGACTATAAAGGCTATCATGATGCGAATGGCGTTTGGAGAGAACTGATTTATTGGTATATTGTACATGTTGCTTATCAGCAGGAGCTCGTCTTGGATAGGGAAACGAAGACCAAAGACGACTTGGTCCACGAAAAATGTATGCCAGCCAGGAGGAGGATGTGCAAAATCACTGCCAGGGCCAGGGACGACCAACTCCCAGTCCGAAGGGAGCCCACTAAATTGTCTGAAGCTCTCGACCTCGGCTGCAGAGGCATAAGAAAAAGGATTTAGAACAGCTAACCTAACCACAGGGCAGGCTATCGACACAGTAGTTCAAGAGTCGAGAAGAGGAGCAATTATGGGTACAGACACAAGACTCGTCTTATACACAGGGATGTCTAAGAACCTAAGAGGTATACCTCGAGGAATTAGGTCGAGACGAGGAGAGCCTCCCCGAGAAGGGCTATTCGAAACGTCGACCAAATCGCCCGCCAAAAGCGCTTGGTCATATTCATTCCAGTCGACGATGGAAGCAGAGGTGCGAGAAGGAGAGTTGGGAGGTGGAAAAACAATCTTAAGGCCGGTCACTTGAACAGAATCAGAGCTTAAACACTCATCTTAATACTCGTTGATTTGACGACCAAGGGAGCCAGAGAGAGAAGACGAGTCGGAAGATAAAGAAAAAAGAAAAAAGAGGTCGAAGTTAGTAAAGTCATGAGTTAAGGCTTATCAAAACAAATAAGGTCGGCTCGCAAAGATCGACAGGGGATAAAAGGAAAAAGGAAGGGCAATTGCTACAGATAGCCGAGAAATACGAATAAGTCACACCAACTCGACTAACAAGGAGATAATGAGTCGAGATACGCAATCAACTCGGCCTAGGTAAATTATTAAGTCGACCTTAGTTGACTCAAAAAGGGAAAAGAGAAGAAGAGAAGACCACTAAGTCGACAGGAGTCGACTTAGCGAAAAAAAGAGTCGATCGCATTCTATAAATCGACGACCAACAAGGTAAAAACAGCAGATCCAAACTAAAACATGCGCATGAGAGATTCAACACAAAGACCATGGAAAAAAGTTGAAGAACACGAAGAACACTCCATGAATTTCAAATCCAGAAAATTTGAAAAAGGAAAAATCGACAGAAATTGGAGAGGTAAGAGAAAATAGTAAACTTACTCATGGTGGCTTGATTAGTTGAACTCTGAAAAGCTTGAAGTCACCGAAAAAGGAGAATGCCGGTGAATCCGAAGCGCGAAGATTGCCGGAGAATCAAAGGAAGTTTGAATATTGAAGAGTTTGAAAGCGTAAAAAGTGGTTTGATGAGAATTCAAAGTATATTTATGCACGATGGCAATGGATAATGACCATTGGATCAACAAGGGAACCAACGATCCTGATGAAGCGTGGAATCCGAAGAGTCAGCGGTTGAGGTGACGCGCATCATTTCAGTGTTTTCGAAATTTGAAATTCAAAAAGGATAACAGAGCGTCAGACTTATCCAAAAAAGCAATCATAAGAGGCTAGGGTGTATATCAATCAAGTGACGAGACGAGTTATCGACGCGGCAAGTTCAAGCAAGTGTTGCTTGAAGACATGACACTAAACCACACATCACCAAATTTACTCTTCAACAGTCGACTGCTTAGAGTAATTTTTGGGGGGGACTAGATGATATAGCCATATAAAGATATACCGGCCCAAAGGCTCTCTACTCGACCGGATAAGTGGCTCAAACCGTTCACATGTCGACCTGAACTTGTCGACATGTTCAAGTCGACTTCCTCAAAGACGACTCTTCATATGATTAATGGCGAGAAGCGGCAGATCCCATACTAGGCGACTTGAACATGTCGACTCCCCTGTAGTCGACATCCATTTGGGCAGACCAACAAGAGCGTAGCCTCCGAATAACTAGAAGATCCTGAGTCGACTCGTCCATGCTCGATGTTGATTCCTCCTACCTCGAGACGTGAGGCACACTGACGACTTCATACACTTGTAACAGACTCAAGGCTCTGCATTCTCCAAAGGATAGGAAGGAATCT